ACCTACTCCTTCTTCCAAAAAAAGAAACGTGATTTGATTAATAAAAGTTATTCATCCCTTCATTAAGTATAAAATTAATTAATTAAAAATGTAAAATAATTGGAATGACTCACTTTGATGTCGCTGAAACTCCTCATTAATTCCGAAAACGGGGATCAAAAAGGGGCCGATCCTCCACAGATCTCCAATCTATATAAAAGAGGTAAAACCTACCTACCGACCTTCCGAAAGCGGAAACGCGATTTGATTAATAAAAGTTATTTATCCCTTTATTGAGTAAAAAACAAATATATGTATACATAATTGGCGCTTTTGTTACCGCTGAAGCCATTTTCCGCCGAGCTCCTCCTCTAATTTGTGGCTTTACGTCATAATGTTTTTCCAACAAATTGAGGGACCTACAGTTTATGCTAAGCCGCCTCCGAACAGCTGATGATTTTTTTATGAGGAGCATTTTCTTCATGTCAGAAATACACTTGGAGGGGTTGACATTCCCTGTCGAAAGGCGACCGCAATAAGAAAATTTAACTTAATTTTTAAAAAATAAATAAAAAAAAAGAAAAAATAATTGGAAGTAGTCACTTTGATTTGAAGGTTGTTATCCAAAAGAAGACCGTATGTTGAGCTTGCAAAACAGTTGTCCGAGTAGTGCCATAAACAGTCTTATGATTAATGTGCTATGTAGACAAAACTGGGTTTAGCATAGTACATTTCAATGCGTGGAGCCTGAATTCAGATAAATTGGATTATGTTCGCAGCGCGTTTGAGTTTTGATTAGTTGATGTTATTTGCGTTTCTGAAGCATGGTTTGATGAAGGTTTAATTTATTCTTCTTCTAACGTAAAAAACTATAATTTTATACGTAATGACAGATCATAAAGAAGAGGGGGTGGAGTTGCACTGTTTTGCAGAGACAACTATTCCATGAAATTACTTTCAAAATTTTTTAACAGCGATATAGAATATTTAATTGCTGAAGTAAGTGGAATAAAATTCCAGAGCATTGTGTCTTGTGTGTACTATCCTCACCGCACTAATGTTATCAACCCTTTTGTGTGTTATATTCTTCATATGCTATTAATTGCGCTTCAGTAATTATTTGTGGTGTTTTTAATGTTAAAATTCTTGTCAATGACTGTTATACTAACAATGTACTTGACAATTGCAGTCAAGTTGCTGCCCTTCTCTAGTCAACCGATCTCATCCTACGCGCCTTGAAGTGAATAGCACTTCTAGTATAATTTCTGACTTGACTGCTATATTTTTTTTATATCTGACCATGATCTCATTTTCTACTGTATAGACATAAATATCGATCGTTGATGCATAAATAAGACCATCTCATTAGAGATTTCCGCTTTGTCAACACTACTGTAGTTATTCTAGTATTGTACGGTGTGGAATGGAGCGAGTGTTGATTATATCCATCAACCGATGAAAATCTGGACTTCTTGATGGGAGTCTTGAAAAACGAGATCATTTTAACATGATACTAAATTCTGGCCTCTCAACAAAGGTTTTATGGAGTAACCTTAAAAAAACGGACATAGTGGGAAGCGAAGTGTAATTCCGGGCGCACGGCAGTTACAATAATTGTTTAAGTTGGAAGGCAAGTATTTTGAAGCCCGTAGCGGTGCGCAATAAGGTGTGCGCCTTTTTCTCTCACGGTCGTCCCGCTGTATATGATTTTTAGGGTAGATGCGTCTTTTTTTATTGGAAAGCACAGGCATAGGCGGTGATAAATAAACCTTCCCCGCTGGATGTGCGCGCGTAACTGTTGCTTCTTCCCTTCTTACCACAATCTCGTTTTCCTTTTTTGCTGGCTTGGACTGTGCTGATGCACCTGTCTATGAAGTCGTCATTTTCTAGAACAAAAATATCAAAGAGGAATTCGAGCAATATTAGGAGAAACAGAATGTATATATAGCTTTACCCTGAAATAAAGGGAAACAGTATAAATGTTCTGTAGTTGAGAACTGCCTCAATTAGCTGTGCCGTGAACTCCTCAAAGGCTTTACTGCTGATTCACAAAAGTCATCCATCTGGGGTGCGCTTGGAAGAATTTAGTGCCAATTTTGCCTTGAGAAGCATATTTTTGGACTATATCGCTAGATCATTCATTCAACGGGCTGTATGGCCCGTTGAGCACCGATAAAGGTTTTTCCGTTGTCGCTCATAATATTGGATGGAAGTCCTCTTCCTCTTCGACCTACAAAACGTGCAAACCCGGCTCGAAATGCTTCAGTTTTCAGCTCAAAATGCATTGCAAAATCAGCTCCCGTTGTGGAGAATGGAAGTGAGAAAGTATAACGCTCAGAGGGTAGAGCGGCAATAATTTCGTACGTGTTTTTCGCTTATAAAGCGTACAAGCTTTACATTAAAAAATGTACTTTTTAACTAGACCTGACCATTTGAAGCATCAATCGTGTCCCTGAGTGAAAAAGCGATTCCTATATAAACTTCAAATATAGTTGCCTAACCTGGACTTAAATGGGATGATGATTGGGTGTAATTCAATGTGAAATGTGACAATCTATCATTTACTCGAAGAAGCCCATCTTTGTCCAAGAATGGAATCAAAACGAGTAGGGAATTTTTTTTTTAAGTGGTATTTTATTTAATATAATAGCGAGTTTGTGAAATATTGATTGCATTTTTTTGCGGCTCAGCATTCACTATGTGTTAGAAGTGGCAAGATGAACAATGGTTGCACCTTTGACTCAAGTCGGACGTTGTTCACGAAATGCAACTTTTGGGCAATCATGCGAATCGCTACAGAGAAAAAGAAAAGCCGATCTAGAAACTCAGTCTCATCTTCGAGCACGTGTTATTCTTCTTCCGTATGCCTTTTTGAGGGCGATGTACTGCGGGCTCTTGAATTTGGTTAGAAATATGAGTGGTAACAGCGCCACTTCAGTCAATGCCAGCAAAGTGAACTGGCAGCAAAGCCCTGCGGCTTGCAGCCGAGTGTATCAAGATTAGCTGGATTATATCCGCTAGCAACATGACGCCATGTACTATTAGGAACTTTTTGTACTTTTATGATTTGTACATACATATATATTTTTTTATGTTATATATTAATATTTTTTCTTAGTTTTTTTTACAATGCGAAAATTTATTTTGTTACCATTCTAAATATATTTTTGTATTTAAAGTGTTTCTTTAATTTTTGTTTGCACCGAAATGCCAACTTTCTCCTGTTTTTCAAGTTAAAATCTACTTTTTATGTGGTGGATGGTACACAGGTATGCTGAATTTTAAGCAAGCAAGGGTGAGGCCAATCTTAAAATTGGTCCACACTTCAAAAATAAATAAATACTTTTCTCTTCGTATCTTTTTACAATGCCAAACGAAGCTTCAGACAAGGCGACTCCTTATGGAGAAAATAACTCGAGCTGCAGGGCTGAATATAGAGGGAGCAATTTTCTATAGAAGTGAACAGCTGCTGGCGTACGCCAATGTTATTGTCATGATTTACCTCAACCGCGCTCTGAGTTCTACTTTCTCCAGACTTAATAAGAAATCGAAAGATAGGGGTATGGAAGTGAGCGAGTTAAGAATAAATATCTCCAATTATCAAACAAACAGTCATCGAATTCGGGACTCAGCTCCTACGTGACAACAAATCGCCTATCGCTCCCGTCCTGCTATGTGGTGCGGAGGCATGGCTGGTGATAATATATGATGAATCGGCGGTAATTGTTATCGAGACAAAATATTGCTTAAGATTAATGGTCCTCTACGAATTGGGAGGCAAATACTGCAGTCGATGGAACGATGAGCTGTACGAGATATACGGTGGCATTGACATAGTCATGAGAATCAAGAAACAGCGGCTGCGCTGGCTGTGTAATGTGGTCGGAATGGATAAGAATACTCCAGCTTTGAAAGATTTTGATGCAGTATCCGTAAAGTCATCGCATATCGCATTCGCGACTCGGTTCTCACGTCACTGTTGACAGTCATAACTTTAAAGTCGTAGATAACTTCGTCTATTTAGGAGACAGTATTAACACCAACAACATTGTCAGCCTGGAAATCCAACGAAGAGTTACTCTTGCCAACAGGTGCTAATTTGAACTGAGTAAGCAATTGAAATGTCAAGACCTCTCTCGGCGAATGAAAACCAAGCTCTGCTCAGCGAATCCAGAAAAGCGGCTACGCTGGGTAGGTCACGTGGTCCGGAGAAGATATCCACTACGTTTGAAAGGTCAGGAGGAAAAGGACCTTGCTGGAATTGAAATCTCCAATTGGCGCCGAACAGTGAAAAATGAATAAACGGGGTGATGTTGTTAACTCGGATATAATTGTATCAACAGAAGAAGCCACAACCAATAAATACATAAGATTTAGGGAAAACTTAAGGAGGGTGTGCCGGCCTTTGAAAAAATTTTCCTCTTGGGGGATTAGAGTAGATCATACTTATCCTTAAAATGTATGCTGTTCCCCGAGGTAAGTTAGAAATTTCGAGAAATCAATATCAATTTAGCTACCAAACATTATGATAATAATACACATGCTCATGACATTGCATATCCAGTAATTTCAGGCTTTTTAATATTAGAGCCCCTGATGATACTAAAATATTTTGCGAAACTTTGGGCAAAAAGTGGAACAAATGATTTTTTTGCACTGACCAAACCAGCAGTGCAATTCTGTAACTTTTATCGACACAGTGCAATTCTGTAACTTTTTCGGATCGCAAAGTTGCGAATTTTGTCGCACATTTCCATTTTATTGTATTAAAATGTAGGAAAGGTGGCACCACAGCTTAACGAAACGTAAAAATGTACGAAAAACACAAAGAGGAATGACAAAAACATATAAATTCGTTATTCCTAATTAGTATGTACATATTTTTCCGCTGGCTTTTGAATATATTTTTGAAAAATGTAAGTAAAATGAAACGTTTATTACAATAGTTTTTGTATTATTAGACATGCCTCATTGTGTGTATAATGGTAGAATAGCTACGACAAAAAGAAACCGAGCTGCGATGGAGCAGCTAATTCGAATGATGGATTTTTTCGGAGAAACGCCGGGTTTGGCAGGGTCTCGGTTCCAGAAGCTCCATGGAAGATCAGACTGCGATAGGAAGTGGAGCGAATTAACTAGTACGCTGAATTGCCTTGGTGGTGCTGTGAAAAGCGTCGAACAATGGCGCACGGTATGTAATTATTTTTAAGCAATTTGGCAGTATGTTAAAATTATATTTTACAAATAGGTATGGAGGGATCTGAAAAGCCGTACCAGCATCAAGGTCCGAGACCGGAAAAGAAAGCGGGCAGTGACAGGAAACAGTCCAATTGATGAGGAGCCACTCACCGAATTGGAGAGACGAGTCATTGCCCTTATAGGTAATGACTATGTCCAGGGCCACGAAAACGTTCCTGAAACAGTGCCTATAGAGGAGGTAATGAAAAATTAACAGTTTGGTATAAATATAAATGACTAAAATTCTCCTCAATATTAGGAACTGCAACTTCGATTAGAGGAGGGTGAAGAAAGCATAGTTATCGAGATGCCTTCATTTTCAAATGGGGTCAATTTGGAAATGCATGCATCGACTCCTGCGACTCAAGCCTCAAAAACTCCACGTAGAGGTAGTAGGAGAAGACGTGTGGAAGATATGAGCGATACTCGAAACGCATTTTTAGAAATTGCGCAAACACAAGCGAATGCTTTAAAAGTAAGTATTTCTGCATTTGGAACACATCTAGAATATGTTTTCATATGTTGTTAGCAGAGTCGAGTGCAGCATCCATCCAAATTGCAAGCAGGCAAGCTGATGCCTTGCAGGTAATTTTTTTTTAAATGCTATAGAATTACATCGCAAATATTTGTATTATGTTTTTTTTTAATAGTTGTTAGCTGAAAGCAATGCGGCGACCACGCAGGCATTGGCAGATGCTAATGCTATGACCACAATGGGTGAAGGATTGAAAGCTTGTGCAGCTGCCTTCAACAATTTAGCCGTCGCAATTATGGAGTTTAAAGTTATTTTTTTTAGACTAGAGTTAATTTAAGCATAGTACAAGAAGTTCTTTTTTTTATTTATATTATTCATTTAAGTTTTAAATTGAAAAAAAAAAAAAAGTTTGGAGAGTATTTTTTTATACTTGAGTTTATATCTGACTTCATATTAGATATACTATGATCAATTTCTCTTGACATACGTGTACATATATTAAAGAAGTAATGCAGTTATGAACATGAGAGATTCTCCTTTAAGAAACTTGAATGTGATGATATGTAAAAATACTTATCTGTGATTATATACTGAGATATGTAATGAATTATGCATTTAAATTAAGTTATATGTTGTATGTATTTTGCTGAGTTAACTTAACTTAAGTACAAATGTTGAAAATATTAAGACTGAAGAATTTGTTACGAAAAATATGTAATAAAATTACAAATTATGTAAATTATACTCCGGAGTTTTTATTTATCAAATTGATATTTAAGTGAAATAATTCGCGATCAGGCGATCTTGGACGCGTTTTGCTGTCGAGGATGGTACCTCATGATTGAAATTGACGGTATTTGTTCTATTTTCTAGGAACTCTTGCTCAAGCTCATATATTTGGTCACCTAATCGAATGTTATGTAATACTGAGCACGCATTGACTATTCTACCAGTGAATCCAGCATCGTACAAAAGAGTTCTTTGTTGAGATAGGCATCGCCAAGTTCCTTTGAGAACGCCAAAAAGCCGCTCGACTGGGTTTCGTGCTTTACACAATGCCTCATTGTAGCGGAATTTGGGACTTCCTTGAGGTTGGTTTGGAAGAGGAGTCATTAACTACGGCTCTAGTGGATATCCAGAGTCACCTGAAAATTTTATTTTTTCATAATTATTTTTAATATATGGGTTTTAATGGTTTTCAAAGTTTACCAATCAAAAACATATTGTGGTTTCCACTTTCAAAACTGCGCTGCATTACTCTTCGCACTGTAGAGGAGCTCCAAACGAAAGAATCGTGCCGCGCTCCTGGGTACTTAGCATTGACCGCCAAAATCTTGAGGTAAGGATCAAATATCTATTTATGTGAAAATATAATGAACTTTGTTACTACAATAGTAATTGGAAACAAATTTACTCTCACCATTTGCATATTGATGGAATGGTATCCATGGTGGTTTACATAAGCTTCTTCATGAGTTTGGGACTCATGATTGACACATGAGTGCAATCGATAGCTCCAATAGTGCCTCCAACAAATGGTGGCGATGATGAAGCAAAAATTTCCTTTGCAGCTTGCCGCTCTATTTTCGTCATTGGAAATCTAACCTTCGCTGGAAACATCGAACGGTTGATTGCGTCTGTTACGCGATGAATGCAACGGCTTACTGACGACTGACTCATGGATATCCCCCATTGCTCTCCGACGGGACGTTGATAGCATCCAATTGCAAAAAATCGCAAGGCGGTTAGAACCTTTAAACATTTTAATAATACTGTTAAGACTAAAAAAATATTGAAAAAAATATATTATTACCTGTTTCTCCGTAGACAATGCTGTTATTCTTCTTCCTTTTAGTTGACACTCTAGTTGAGAAACGATTTCTTCAACTAAATCCGGCGTTAATCTATATAGCTGCCGAAACTCGATAGCATCCAAATGAAAAGGATCTTCCGCTTCTCGACGCAAACTTCCATCCAATGATGAAGGATACCTCTTCATCTTGTGACAAATCGTATGCCAAATATTCAAAAGCCATTTATTTTATTATTTTATTTTTATTTTTGTATTACTTAGACACTTTACTCTCTTATATGAGGTAACAAAATTTTGTCGATATCGCTAACAACTTAAAAATATTCGTCGCTTAGTTAGCGATTTTTCGAGTAGCTTACGACAACAGCGAGAGCGAATATCGTTAAAACAAGTACACCGAATATTAAAATCGTTAGAATTATCGCTAAGTCTTCTTTGCGATCCGAAAATCGTTATACTATTCTTAGAAAATAGCGAATATCGTTAAAAATATCGTTAAGCCTTCTTTGCGATCCGAAAATCGTTATACCACTTTAGAGAATACCGAATAACGTCAAAAATATCGCTAAGTCTTCTTTGAGATCCGAAAATCGTTATACCATTTTGGAGAGTAGCGATTATCGTTAAAAATATCGCTAAGTCTAATTTGCGATCCGAAAATCGTTATATTGTGCTTAGAAATAGCAAAATCGTTAAAATTATCGTTAAGTCATTATAACGATCCGAAAATCGTTATAATACAATAGAGAATTGCCCTACAGATCAGCTAAGCCTAATTAAATAACAAAATATTTAAAGCTAATATAATCACACGGAACACTTAAATATCCTATATAAAATTACCCAATAACGTTTAAAACGATTTTTATTAATGAAGATATTCAAAACGTTAGTATTTTCCATCATTTTTAAACATGAAATATGCGTTTGTTTACTTTAGTAAATAAAATTAAGTTTAAGAGTTCGCTACAATCAGCAAAACCTGTGCTGCCACACGGTAAAAGTAAGTTCATATTGTTACGATTTTGCTGAATCAACCTCGATGATCGCAATTCAATTACAATGCACTTTACTAGTTACAATCACTTGTATAAAACTTTCACAATGTACTTTACCTTAATGTAATCTCCAACGCGTTTACTTTACGACTCAATATAAACAAATAGTTTATTCCGCTATACGCTATACTAATGTTTGCGCCAACGAGTTCTCTTTGTAACTAACTCGACTTGCAGCTGAGTGCCGCCCTTATATAGCAGTCGGCTGCTCGTAGACGAAAGTGGAGAATAATAGAGTTGTTCGATATCGAAGTTTCTCGTTTTATCGCTCTAGAATGTACTAATTATCGGGTTCTCTCTTTCATCTGACATTCGTCTCGCATTTTCGCCACACTGCCTTCCACCAAAGTCTGATCGCCCCCATCATACACATTCGTTGTTCCAAACTCAGCAAGCCTCTCAAGGTGGACCACTTTCATCTTGTTTCTTGGACTCCCAACGGTTTGGATTCGATACACTACGTCGTTTAGTCGTTTGATTACCTTGTATGGACCTTCCCAATTACATTGAAGTTTTGGGGACAAACCCCTCTTCCGTTGTGGATTCTACAGCAACACCAAATCTCCATTTTGGAAACCTTCCGAGTTCATCGCCTTTTCATACCTGGCCTTCATTTTTTCACTCATAATTTGAGTTCGCTGTCTCACAAGAG